ACGTTCCTCAAGCTATACTAAAGATCGATTTATTACATATTTTGTAATTCTACCAAGTTTAGTTACCGTATTTCGTTGGATTGTTGATTCTTTCGGATAGAGAAGTATGATAGTCGTGAAGGGCGTATCTAAATCCGGACAGTTCACGTTGTAGCCGCCTTAAAACATCCGGAAACTTCATGTTGTATATATCAACAAGTTCGGTGGCCGGTTTGAAACAAGATCCAATCTTTGTCTGGTCTAAGATCAATGAACTTGGTGAACAATCGTATGCTCCCACATTCAAGAATCCAAACTTCCTTCCTCCCATTTTATACACTTCCTAAAAAGCATAAATTAATATATCTCACATTTTAGACCAAAAGTTAATAACTTGAGAGCAGTTTTCGGTTTGACTTTTACCTCGATCACCGATGTCGTGTTACCGATAACAAAATCGACAAATTTCTCTTTGGAATTGGATTGGAAAGTTGAAGAATTTGCAGAGAAGGGATAGAATAAGTCGTTGCCTCCGATATGAAACAGATAAACAGCTCTTGAGAAAATTCTCTTGACCTCTGCTTCTCCTAACTCAGATTTTAAACTCTTTTCAACATTCTTGAAGTTGCTTAACTGAGTTCTTAAATCAATCACCTTCAAAGGTTATAGAGGTAAAAAAAAGAATCAATTAGTCAAATAACAATATCTAGGTTTTAGTAATAAAAGTTCATACAATTATCTAAATGTCTACTCTCTTTCTTTCAATTTCAATGTAATATTTATCATATGGTTGATTTAAGTCGAAATTAATCGCATTCTTGAAGTTGCTTAACTGAGTTCCTAAATTAATCGCCTTGAATGGTTATAAAAAAAAATCAATTAGTCAAATAACTATATTATAGGTTTAACTGTTTAAGACTCTAAGAGTCTAAGTAATAAAAATTTATATATTTATTTAAATCTCTACTTTCTCTATTTCGAACTATTACTTTTTAAGTATTTTTAAAAAAATAACCATCATTTTGAAATTTCAGTGTAATGTTTTATCACAAATACTTAACTAGTTTCTACGTGATCCAAACTAATTTTTAAATATGAAACATAAACTCATTTGTAATACCAATTTTTTCTTAACTTGAGTGAAATTTGTGAAAACAACACTTATACTAAAATGACTGAAAAGAAAAACTTAGATACTTACCACTCCGGGAAAAGTTTCGACCAAAGCTCCAGCGGCAGCGGAAGCAAAACTTACTCCATAGGTAAATTGATTGTTACCGTTGCCTGGTTGTAAATTTGGCGGAATTAACGGTAACCATGCTTTCTCAGCTGCCGCATCAAGCAAAAGAAAAGTTCAAATTTTCCGTAAAATAAATTAACAAAACAGGATAGTTTTGTTTTGGTACCGATGAAATCTGGAATTAGACGTCCATCAGAGACTCTTCCGGTTGGAAACTTGAAATTTGTTTGACCGTACGGCCAGAAATTTGACCGGAGACCTGAAATTGTAATGATATAGTTGTTGTTTCCGGCATCGAATAGAGAATCTCCGAACACGAATAAAGCAGCTTGGTTTGTTATAAGATTGTTGTTCTCTCTGCAATTGATTGAGCCGATGGATATGATTATTGTGTAGAAGAAGATGGTTGAAACTAATCGAGAGCTTCCCATGTTTAATGTTGTCTTATTTGTTACACAAAGTACTTGGTCTGTTTTGTTTTATGG